GCCCTCCCCCACGCCCCCCCCCGCTCGTGAAAGCAACGGCAGACAATTATTTTGCGCCCTTTTCCCTGGATTGCCCGAGCAGACGCCATAGCATGTCAAGCATGGAGCCCGTTCAGCCTTTTTTCACTGTCCCCGTATGTCTACTGGATGCTGCTGACAGATGCGGTATTACAGTGCTACACAGCTGCAGCTTCTTGCCGTTGCAAGTTAGCAAAGACAGTTACCAGTCATACTGTACCATCTGCTACTGTCATGGGTGCTCCTGGCCAGCCTCCGTGAAGTCGGTCGGGGGTGACTAGACAAAAATGGGAATGACTCCCCAGGTTATTCTCTTAAGTTTTGTCTAATAGAGATTCAGTGCTGCCTAGAATATCAGGCAAGCCTACTAAAGAACCACAGATGCAAGCGGCCGCTCCGGGTCAGAGCCCCAGACATCCCGCAGAAATGATGAGCTGCATGCCATTCTAGGGGGGTGCCCGTACAATAACCCCACCCGTTGCTTCCCTCCTCCCGCACCCCTCCCAGGCTACCTTGGCAGTTATCCCCCCATTTGTGTGATGAAGTAATAAAGAATGCATGAATTTGAAACAACACTGACTTTATTGCCTCTGCAAGCAGAGATCAAAGGGGAGAGGGGAGGGTGGTTGACTTATAGGGAAGTAGAGTGAACCGCCATTCTGCACTTGCTCAGCCTATAGTCTGTCCATCATGGCCTTGGAGACTTTTTTTTTTTAAATGTTTTGGCATTCTGTCTTTTGGAACGGAGTTCCGATAGCACAGATTCGTCTCCCCATACAGCGATCAGATCCAGAAATCGATTTTAAGAGCCCTTTATGTCGACAAAAATGGCTTCGTTGTGTGGACGGGTGCAGGGTTAATTCGATTTAATGCTGCTAAATTCGACCTAAACTTGTAGGGTAGACCAGGCCTTAGATACAATATTCAGAATACTTATTAAATGACTGCATATGTCTGCAAGGGGCAGACATAATGTTTAGCGTAAGCTGACAGTATTATGCGAGTGTGAATGTGTCCCTTGATTCACTGTTAAGATAGCATTTGTGCCCTCTGCCCCTCTTACCTTTCAGAGGCCGTGCTTTTGCCTTGCAAAACGATGGAAGGAAGAACTGCTAGGGCCCAATCCTGTAAACCTCTGCTCCTGTGAATGACCTTGGTGGGAGTAGTTCTGAGACTACCATACCGTAGGGGTGGTTAGAGCACTGGTTTTGTAAACCAGGGGTTCTTTAAATAAACAAAAAACAAAGAAAAGGCCACACACCAGTGGGGTCTTGATAATTTTAATTGGAATAGTGTTGCCTAGTGAATAGAGCACTAGACTGGGATTCAGAAGAGCTGGGTTCTGTTTCTGACTCTGCCGCTGGCCTGCTGGGTAACCTTGGGAAAGTCACTGCATCTCTGTGCTTCAGTTTCCCCATCTGTAAAATGGGGTTAATGATACTGACCTCCTTTGTGAAGTACTTTGGGATTTTCTGATGAAGGCCTAGGTATTTTTATTACTCCCATGAGTAAGTTGTATCTACATCAATAAGCGTTTGCAGGATCAATTGTTTAGTCTGTTTCTTCTGAAAACCAGTTGCTGCAGCACTAAGAGGCTACCTCCGTTTCTGTTGTGTTGATAGCAAACCTTGTCAGGCAGCAGGAATAGGCCTAATGTTAAGACATTTTGGGGTGGCCAGAAGTGGGATCATTTAACTGAAGCAATTTTAGGGGAGCTTGAGATGTAACAGTTTGGGAGAGATGTGGGTTGGCATGCTGTAGCCTTGGGGAGGCCCATACGGTAACAAACCCCTTTTCCTCCATGGTACTTGTGAAATCTGCAATCCTTAGAACACAGAGCGACTTTTCTAATGACAAATAGAGTCCAGTTCTCACAGTCATGATCTTATTTTCCCAGTAACTAAAATCCTGAATATAGACCAATTGCCCCTTTCTGCTCCTCTCAAGACCTGAAAACGCATTGCCGTTTAATTATTCATACTGTCTTAGCTCACCGGTGGGGCTTTCAAACATTAACTTTTTATGGAAGTTCAGCATATCCACTGAGCTTTACTGTCTTCTGGTGATCAGTGCATTCCAAAAGCCTGTAGCTATTTAAGCAGTGCAGAGACAAATGTCTTGTTTCCATCAGTCATATGAACTAGCTTCTCTTAGACTCATCCCTCTTGTTTAATTTTGTATCATAAAATTGGGAAACAAAATACAAAACTGTCAAGGGGAAATTTATTATGGTACATCAGCAGCATAATTAAGCTTTAAGGAATATTTATTGTTTTGAGATTTCTAAAAGTCTGTAGAAAAACATTCCCAGGAGCACATGTCAATGCTGTTTAAACATTTTTGTTAGTACAACTATAGTAGAGTTTACCAGAAATGAAGTTTTAGTATACAATTCAGATTGTGACCCAGATTTTGTAATGGTTCTAAATGTGCTGTATTTGAGTAAGTGACAAAAAACATGTCAGCAAAATGACAAACTACAGAAAAGGCAGGCAAGACATTCTAAAATCTTACTAAAAACACTGTTAAAATAGATCTTCATTTTTCTTAGAGTGACAGCTACTTTAAAACTGGAAGTATAAAGCAATGAGTAGTTTCTTTGACTAGGCAGTTTTGCACTATAAGGGGCAGAAATAGAATAGCTTTATCTAAAATTGAGTTTGAAATTAATTTTCAAATATTTTAGATACTGCATTCTTGAAGGTGCAGATTAAATTCTGGTGGGGTACATAAATCGTAGCTTTCTTGATGTGTTGTGCGAAGTTGAATATTTTGTTTACAGTAGCTTATTTCAAATTGTTTTTAAAACATGCAGATTACACTTCAGCAAATAGTAATATGTCCTTTAAATTTCCAGCTCAGTAGGTTTTAAGTAGTCTGACTACTGTTGCTTTAGTTTCATCTGTCTCATGTGTTGTGCAGTTCCTCTGTTTTGTTGCTCGCTACTAGTTTCTGCCAGTGTTCTAATCCTAGGGTTGATATGTTATTAGCCAGGGTCTGTTTCTGCAGTTCCTTGTGGAATTTCTCCCACATTCATTTATTCATGAACTCAAATCTTTTTAGACTCTTGATCACAAATAGCATCAATGGATTTGCACTTGGTCATACTCAGTACATATTTATGGAATCCTCTTCTATTTATGGTCGCTATAACAATATGAAAATATGTTAATATTGCACTTTAATCTAGTAGGACATGTCTGACTAAAAGTAAAACACTTTTCTGTTTTTAGAGCTAGAAAAGATTTTTTGGGGGATGGGAGGGGAAGAGGGTAGAGATTTGCTTCTCCTCCTAAACTCCATTCAGCTAAATAGAGGGTAACACTATTGTTACACAGCAACTTACATAAATTGGTCTTTTCCCTGATGGAAAAATATATATTGGATATTACCACTTAACAAATATATCCAGCAAACCCACGGCTACTATTTGTGTACAAGGATCCTAAAAAACGTAGAGTCTAAATATGCTGAGTTCATGATGTTCCAGAAACAGGATTCCCAGTTAAATGCATTCTATCAGGAAGTTATACAACTTTGTTTTCCCTGTAATCCTCCTTGGTGACTTGGAGAGAACAGGAACTGCCACTCCCAGGTAATCTTTTTTTCTTTTCTTTTAAGGCTTAAAACAATTTGTCCCCCTTACTTGGGTTGTTAGTCCACTTTTTAAAATTGCTATTTGTGCCATACGCACAGGAAATAGTCCTGTAAAATGAAAGTAGGGTTTATTATTCCAGTGAATCTCTCTCTCTCTCTGAGACCTGAAAATCTTCTGCAAATCAGACTCCTAAAATATACCACCCAGTAGTAACTATGTAGTCCCTGAAATCTCCCAAACCGAGATCTACAGTACTTAAAGTGAAAATCTGAGATAAGATTTTGTTATCCATGGGGAAAATCTCAATTTCCTTCAAAAAAGTAGGATATTTTCAAGGGCAAATAGATTAGTGAATCTCTGTTTCAAAACTATTAGCACGCGGTGTTACCTCTTGCAGACTGTGACTGGATCAGTATTGCCAATTCCAAGCATTTGAAAGTCATGAAATATTAACCCAACATTTATTATATTTTTTTTCTATTTGCTTTCTGGGTTTTGAGCCTTTGGGGTTTGTATTTTCAAGCTTTTCTCTGCAACGCTGAGTGGCCAGAAACATACTCCTCCTGCTCCCCAGCCCTCCCCCCCCCTTTTTTTTAAAAATGAATGCTGAGATTTTCATCTTACGACATGACTTCAGGAGCTTTTGCTGAGGCCGTTGCACATTGACCAAGTACTTGTGCTGACCACATTTGTTGAAAATGGCTTCCAGAGAAACTTGAAAACAGGTGCTGTTTTCATCGATCTAACAGCGGCGTATGGCACACTGGCCTGCTCGTGAAGGTATCACGGGTCCTGCTACCTTGGGTCACAGGCATCGTTGAACTCCAATATGTTAGGGTGGAAACACTCTGGCGCAAGGAATGGATATCTGTTATAATCCCCAACTGGTCCCTCGTCACCGACCCCACAGTTTGCCTGCCTGACTTTGACCTGCCCTGTCAGTGGTCCCGGTTGAACAGGTTCCGGACCGGGCAAGGTCTCTGCAGCCAGTCAGCGGTGGCCTAGAAGAACTGCATCACGCCACTGAAGATGCCATCACTTGGCTAGATAACTGTGCACATGCTAAATAAATAAGGAGCTGGGGATATATTTATAAATAAATATTGAGACGTGATTAAAATTGTAAGAGTTGGCAACACTGCTGTCACCAACTTTATGGCTTAGAATAGCAAAATGTTTCCTACTAATATGCAGAGCAAAAAAAAAGTAAATTGTGGTTATAAATGATTGATTAAACTATTTAAAAGGGGTTCCCCCCCCATCTGTTTACTAGATGCAAAATATCAAAGGGTGTTGCACTTATAGAGAAAAATTCTCATAGTTGGTCTTTTTTTTTTTCTTGGTTAAAGTCATGTATATTGATATTGGGTTAACTGCAATAAAAGATCAGATAAATCTTGGTAATGCTCTATAACTTGCCATATCTTTAGACTGGAACACTGTCTTTTATGATTCTGATTCACATTTGTTTTAGTCATTTCAGGAGTGGATGGTCACAGGTTTGAACTTTGTATCTGGTAACATTCATCTCAATAACTTGTTGACCTAGATGCTAAAAAGTGATTGTAGACAGGGAACTGAAACTTTTTAAAATACATAATAGGTTTAGGATCTTAAAACAGATAAGGGCCACGCTGTCATTCCACTGAATTCCCTCGGCTTTCTTCATCGCCAAGACCCAAGCTGAGTGTTTCATTTCTCCTGCAAGAGTTGATAGCAACACACACATCCCAAAAGCAGCATAAAAGCGGAAATTCCCGGTGTAATTGTTTGTGAAGCCTGAGCAGTCTCAGCACGTAAGAAAAAATAAAATGCTTGTATGTTTTTTATTTGGTTATTAAAATATATATTCTGTGAGCACCTATCCCATGCTCTGGGTGGTGCTTATAATATTTAAAACAACACAGTCAATTATGGTGAACTCTAGAATCCACTACCAACCAACAATAATTCATTTCCTTGTTTCTTTTCATTCTCACCAGTGCCTTTCCTTATCTTGTAGATTCATACTTACTGAAGATGTCAAACATGGGAGTGATGTCCACCTGCTTCTGTGTCCGTTCTTTTGTACACCTGCTTAGGCCGGGAGTGCAGAAAATGGGCTATTTCCAAATGCACACTGCATCCAGGTGTGCTGCTAAGAATCACTACGAAGTGCTGGTGCTTGGCGGGGGCAGTGGTGGAATCACCATGAGCGCTCGGATGAAGCGGAAAGTGGGAGCTGAAAACGTGGCTGTTGTTGAACCAAATGAGGTAAAAATCCTTTTAAAATTAGAGAATGAGGTACTAGCTTTCCTTGGTTGAAAAGCTGGTTTGTGTTTGTTCTTGCTCCTTTCCTCTGTTATGCAATTTAGAATTAAAATCCACGCTGGTCTCCCAGCAAGAGAATACTGTGTAATGCACCATAAAAAACTGCCTTTAACTATGATGCATGAGGCGACATTTACAAAGTACATATCTGTCTATACAGCTTCTTTCATTAGGAACAAAATGTGACCGACCTTCTAGCTGAAGGTTCAAATGATCAAAAAGCAACTTATTGTTGCTTCAGAGAGGAAGCCAGAAGCCTCACACCTAGGGTGACCAGATAGCAAGTGTGAAAAATTGGATTGGGGGAGGAGGCCTTGGGGGGTAATAGGTATTCTATATAAGACAATGGGCCCAATAATATCAGGACATCTAGTCACCTTACTCTCACCCTTAGGGCTAGGTTGTGCAACCAATAGATTAGTGGGCAACTACTCAATCTTGCCCTTATGTTTATGAACTTCATGACCTGATTGAAGAGTTTATCTTCTATGAAGTGAAATATCTTCTTGGGTTCCATGGCTACATGCCTAATGCACTGCATCACAGCCAGCCCTTGTCTGCTCCAGACTCCCTCCAAAGGCAGTCAATACCCCTATCACTATAGGGGATCATCAGAGGCACTTTGTCCTACTTTCCCTTTCCCTGGGCCTCAGTGAGCTACCTCTGCAGTCCTGTCAGCTGTGAAATGGAGGCCGATTCATGGAGATGAGTTTTCTTTCAGAAACATTACTATCAACCCATGTGGACACTAGTTGGCGCTGGTGCAAAACAGCTGGCAACATCTGGACGTCCGACAGCCAGCGTGATTCCTTCAGGTGTAAAATGGATCAAATCCAGTGTTACAGAGTTGGATCCAGACAAGAACTGCATCCATTTAGCGGATGACAAAAAGGTAACCGTGATAATGATGGATATCCGTGAGCCTTAAGATAGTGTCAGAGAAACTTACTTCTGATTTCCCACTCCAAAGGGTTCCCATAAATACAAAATGAATTTCCCATCCTGTATGGGTGCCATGAAACGGATACTCTACACTATCCAACAAGTCCTGAAAATGTACTGAAAACACTTGTTACACTGATAGTATGATAACAATTGCTTCTGTGGGTTTATTTATTTATTTAAAACAAAAACCAGGACAACAAAACCCTCCAGATCAATAGATGCTTTTCTCTCCAGGTAGCAAGTACCAGCATGTTTTCAGCACTTGTTTTAATGAACTGAATACTGCAAAATAAGGAGTAATTACCTTGCTGAACAATGGAGTAAATGTTTTGGATGTTCAGTGTAATTTGTTTATTTCATGATGCATTTTTAATCATTCCACATTTTAGTATTTACCTCATATGGCTTATAATACATGGCTTGGTTTGTTTTCCATACCTTGCATTATTTCACAGTTAGTGTTCATTAGTAGTTGTCAGATTGTTTAAATTAACCTTTTGAGGCAAAGTTCATTATGTATAAATGACATCTGTTTTTTTTTTTCTTTATACTATAGATATCTTACAAATATTTGATAATTGCCCTTGGGCTTCAACTGCATTACGAAAAGGTATTCGCTTTAAACCAAATACATTTTTACTGGTGTTAATTGCATAGAAATTGCACTATATACTTTTGTGATCCTCTAAATTTAGTGGCTTTTCAATACAGTATATAAAGTGTGTCTACTAGTTCTCGCAGTAACGAATGAATATTCATGTCTTTCTGTCTATAGAGGCTCTAAATTGCACTGGATAGTAGGGGCTCCAATTTGGGGCTATTCTCAAACCATTCAGCATAAATAACCTCTCGCTAATCACATAGCAAAGCTGTCATCTTATTTATCCATTGTGCCTTTCCACAGAGAGACGTTTTCTACACAAATCTGATCACACACAGAAATAACTCTTGATTGGCTGGCTGAATAAACTATAGAATCCTAAAAATGTAGGACTGCAAGGGATCTCAAGAGGTCCAATAATTTAATATAGAAAAGAGGCTTGAATCGCAGTCTAGCTTCCATCAGCAGCACCCAGCCTTCAGGCCCCTACTGGCAGAATTTCTGCCTGAAGAGGGGGTTTGCAAGTGGTGCAGTTGCCTGCAACTCTGTTTAGCCCGGGCCAGATGTGGAAGATTGGCAAGGCCTCCCAAGCAAGACATTGATTCATTGCATTTTGGGGGCAGTTTCTGCTGATGGATGGGGGGGGGGGTGGCATCATAGAGCCTATTCTGGAACTTAAATCTGCCCTCCATAGTGGAGCATTGGGGAAAGTGGTAGTGTTAGGGTGCAGTAGTTTCCACTGGCGCTGGTAACAAATCTGGCGCAAGGACTTTCTCCGGTGCCACTTTTTCTTCTTAAAGTTCATTACATTGTATCAGGCAAGCGCAGCCTAAAGCCTTGAGTCCCCTAGATACTGGGGTGGGAGGCATATGTGGGATCTGTGTCAACTGTTGTCCTAAGCCTGGGTGAGCATGTGGCGTAGCTTCTGATAAATGGGAAAATGCTATTCTTTGGAGCTCTGGTAGTTCTAAAGGTACAGTGGAAACAATTACTTGAGCCATCACTTGTGAATGAGAAGCAGCTTGTTGCTTATCTAAAGTCAACTACCTCCTACAGAGATTAGTTCTATTGAAACCAAACTGCACAGTATTTAATGATTGTCAATGTTTGCTGTTAGCTCTTCTATAGCACAACCTGATAAAGACAAGTACAATGAATACCCAGGGAAAGTGCAGTGTGGCAAAACCAGTCACCACTTATTTATAGCTAGATAGCAAACTATTTGGGTTTAAAAATAATAAAATCATGATTAAAATTAAAGCCCACAAGACAGGTATGGGGAGGCCCCTATCCTGCAAGGATTTGTGTGTGTGGGTGTAATTTAACACACTGCAAGTGGTCCCAGGGAGTTGATTGCAAATCAGAGTGAACATGCATGCCTTCTTGGCACGAGCCCAGTGATACAGTATTTTATATAACACACGCACTCTGCTGGCAATGTTTATGATTACAACTGTTATACTTTCTTTAAAAAAATCATGGAACCATTAATACTGGGCTTTTTGCTTTGTACAGCTTATTTTCACAAAAACTAGTTTAGGGGATTCACCCCCTGACAGAGCCCCTTTTAAAAACTAAGCAGTCTGTGGGTGCAGTGGAAAATAGCTCTACCTTCAGCTAAAACTTTGGTTTCCCAAATGATCTGTTACAGATTACAAAATATCTGAAGACAAGGGAAGATTTTACATCAATTTGTTCCAGCTATGTTTTAATAAAAGCTTTTGTTTTGTTGTAGATTAAAGGTTTGCCTGAGGGTTTTAATTATCCTAAAATAGGTTCCAATTATTCAGTCCACACAGTAGAGAAAACCTGGAAGGCTTTGCAAGATTTCAAGGAAGGAAACGCCATCTTCACTTTTCCAAACACTCCAGTGAAATGTGGAGGGGCTCCTCAGAAAATCATGTACTTGTCAGAGGCCTACTTGAGAAAGGTATGTGTTTCATCACATCCCCTACTGATGATGCCTGTTACCACTGCTAGAGATCAGACTTATTTTATGGGGATCATGTTGTAATTATGACAAAAATAAGCCCTGAGGTGAAAAAGATGTTGTGACTTAAATCTTAATAAGGTAATTGGTTTACAGATCAACTTTTCTGAGCGTCTGTCAATATGAAACAGACCATTAGGGCTCAGAGCAGCCGAGGAACGAATGTTCTAAGCTACCGTTGCAGCTCCGTGTTTCTGTGGCTAGCAGAGACCCAATTCAGTCCCCAATGTAACTTACAGCAGTGTCAGGATTGCCCTAATCTGCACTGGCTAGTATGGGCTCCAGTTTGGTGCCTTCTAGCTGCCTGGAATAGACGGAGTGCAGAAGCACTGTCACCATGCTCCCTTCCATTCAGCCAGGTTGGTGGCTGAGAGGGAGGGGTGGTGTAGAGTTGGCCTGGTGACTTTCCCATGCTGTGGGAATACTCAGCTGGCTAGTAAAGTAAGCTTTGTGGTACCAAAGGGGCTATTGCAGGACAAGGATCTTGTCTGTAATGTTTAGTACATAGAACAGGTATTTTAAAGATTTAATACTGTGTATTTATATAACACTTTCCATGTTAAGGGATTCCAAGAGCAGTGTGCATAGTACACACACCCACCCTGACAGGAGCCACTTAAATGCACTAGCTATTAAAAATACACACCACACAGCTTAGGAAGTAAAGCAAACAATATGATTGTACCCAATTGAAAGTACAAGGGGAATCTTATGTAGACAGAATGCAATATCCAGATAGGTGTTTGGCCAAGACATTAAGGCTAACCGTGCCAGGGGACCTTTAATAGACAAGTATTTAAACCCTCAGTTTTGCATGTCATCCAAAATGCTGTGCTCCCTTTTTCTGTGCTAGGGCACTTGCTTAGTTCTCAGTCAAATAATAGTGATACCCAATAAACGACTGCTACCCCACTTCACGTGGCACCAATGCCCTCCTGGGAGGTCTCACCCAAAGAAGATACTTACCTATTTTCTGACCAGATAACTGAGAGGATCAAACCTTGAGATGGTGTGGCTCCAATACACATTTTAAGTGTTTGAATGTTAATATATGAAAATTCAAAACAGTTGCTAGTTACACAGTATATGCTCTCATTTACAATAGTGTAGTGTTGCTATCCAGTTCTACTGCTTTTGTACTCTGTTCACTGTTAGAAATTAATTTCTTTCTACCCAGACAGGAAAACGATCCAAAGCCAACATCATCTTCAATACTTCGCTTGGATCAATTTTTACTGTTCAGAAGTATGCTGATAGATTGCTGGAGATAATTAAGGCTAGGAATATTGTTGTTAACTACAAATGCAATCTCATTGAGGTTCGAGCAGACAAACAAGAAGCTGTATTTGAGAATTTGGACACACCTGGAGTGACTGAGGTTTATCAGGTCAGTAATATAGAAGCTTTCAGGCCTTTAGTTTGGTCTTCTTCTGTTTTTGCCATCACTATTTACTGTCCACTGAAATACTAAATACTGAGATTTCCCCTCCACCTCCCAGAATGTAGAAAAGTGAGTAACTTCAAATATGGAAACAGAAACTGGGGCTATCCCAGCTAAAATGGTAATATTGTCATTTCCCTCAAAACTCTGAGCAGGATCTGCACTCTCAGCAGATGTAGCTGAGTGGTTAAAAGAAGCTCTGCTCTGACTAAAATTGTTTGATTGTGAATAGCACAGCTGGAGTGGATCAGTAACTGGCTAGCGATCTTAAAGCACGTAGCAAGGACGCACTCAAAAATACTTAGAAGCTGAACCTTACATTTGACTGTAACAAGGCAAAAGAGCCTTTTCTCCCCCACTCTTTTTAATCTTCTCCCCCTCATCCCAATGCAGATCTGACCTGCTATAATAAGGGTATCAATTTTAATCCTGTTCATTGAATTCCATTTATCTAGCTGTTTTGTTTCTTTCTCTGCCCAGTATGAAATGCTTCATGTCACACCACCTATGGGACCACCTGATGTACTCATGAACAGTCCTGTTTCAGATGCAGCTGGCTGGTTAGACCTAGATAAGGAAACTCTGCAACACAAGAAATACCCCAATGTGTTTGGTATTGGAGACTGCACCAACCTTCCAACATCAAAAACAGCTGCAGCTATAGGTATAGTTCAGTGTCTTGTTTTTTAATGGTTAAAGGTAACAATTTAAAACAAAACAAAAAAAAAATTAACTTGCATGTTCCCGCTGGACCATTTTTCAGAAAACCAACTTAACCCTTGTGGTAAGAGAGAAACTTCTGACAAAGTACTGTTGGCTTGTAGTGATTAAAAAGTTTTTTGTTTATTTGCAAAGTAACAATGCTGTTTCCCAAAACTTACAATATGGACTACAGATAACAGGTTTCAGAGTAGCAGCCGTGTTAGTCTGTATCCG